TATTTACAAATTAAATTACAATTTCAAGAATCTGCAAATAAGGTGGACTCTGTCCTCATGAGCAATGTAAACAACATTGTATCATTTAGATACCGAAAGTACAATATATTGAACACTGTGCTGCTGTCATTTCCCCCTAATGATAACCTGAGATGGTGAATTATAACTCACAATGAAAATTCTTCAGGAAAGTGGGTATAGAGTAGACATGTAGAACTAGATAAGCTTATGATAAGCCAGCCTTGTCTACTTATTAAGGAAAAGTGGGAGGTTATTTTTAATGAACATTAGCTTCTCTGCTTTACCAGCCATAAATCTGTTCCTATTCTCATCAAGCACATGAGAGGCAGCGCTGAACAGTCTCTCGCTGTCAGTGCTTGTGATTTGATCTTACTCCGCATATTTGTCCGGGTGTTTTGATTTCAAGTGGTGGAGTAATCCCGAAGTGGTGAAAGTCTTTGCAGTTACACCCCCTCAAGAAATGTCAGCTGAACACGTTTTTACAAATCGCAATCCGCGCCTCTTTCTCTGATATTTTTAAATATCTCCAAGCTGCAGACATGTTGGCTGTGAGCCAGCCGCGAGCATGGTCGCGCGCCGTGCTTGTCGCCGCGTTTTGATTTCGTCATCACAACAACACGTTAGCTTACCAACGTAACCCTGTTCTCTGACATTCGGTGATATTTTTTCGGTGCTAGAACCCTTTCGGCCGAAAGCCGAAAGGGCCTTTTTAACCATTTTCGGCCGATAATTTTCGGCGGCCGAATATTCGGTGCATCCCTACTATTTAGTGTGCCTTAGTTTTCAATGTTCTTGTGATGGTTTTTGGTTCTGCTGTGGTTTCATCAATATTATGTTTCCGTTAAGTTTCAGGTTTCATTAGTTCTATTATATATTCATTGATCCTTGACAGTTTGGTGCAAATTGAGCCATTTAACTACTCTGCCTTTGCCCAAGGTTCATGAGCGCACTGAGGATATGGACTTTCTCCTGCTGGTTTTGAGAAAACTCCTTCATTCCAACTCTTGTTATGTCAAGGTAATTCCAAGATCAAGTTAAATCCCCCTTTCTGTCCTCTTTTTTTCCCGTTGAACCATCATAGGCCCTGTGCTTTTTTCAGATCATCCTCATGTCAGCCACCATTAACTGCAAACAGTTTTCGGACTACTTTGGCTCCCCAATTCGTGGCAAAATGAACCCGGCCTTCGTGTTTGAGGTGGAGGGGGCACCATACGTCATTGAGGAGTTTTATCGGGATGACCTTGAACGACTGTTTCAATACAGGGTAGGTATATGGGAAATGTTTGCAGATGCTAGCGTTATTATTGACGGCGTGTAGTTGATGGGAGAATTTTGTGTGTGTCTCTGTATCAGGTAAATGAGTCGACAAATCTGGATGACCCTTACATTTCAGTGGAGATGTACAATCTTGCCATCAGTCTCATCCAGAGCTTTGATGAGTTGGAGGGCAAAGGTTCCAGGTAAAGCCAAAATATTTTGTCACACCTGACAGCTTTAAAAATCGGGAGACACATAAAGTAAAAATCTTGTTTGTTTGAGCAGAACAGCAGAGAACAAAGGGAAGATGACTTCCTCAGAGCGGGGCAGTGTGTTGGTGTTTCTCCCTGGTTTAGGTGAGATAAGCTACATGCAGGAGGCCTTGGCCAAGCTGGTCCACAAAAGGTGAGTTATGATTATGTTTAATCTGTCTCTGTAGCTAATACAGGGATGCAAACTTGTCACCTTTCGGATAGGTAGTTTGTGTGATTCGTGTTATCGTGTTATAACAGCACTGTGGCACAGACTGGACAGCTGGTGAACGGCTGTTAAAACGGCTGCTCAGGTGTTCAGAGCAGAGCTCCCTGTGGAGCGGCAGAGCGTGATGTGCACTGAAAAGTTTTTCTGTCGCAATATTATTTAAGGAATCGTTGAGCTAGCTAACTAGCATACATTGTCACTATCTGCTATCGTTAGCTTTAGCCTTAGTTTTCTAATAGTTTTTTTCATAGGCCATAAACAGAGGTCGTATAGTATAGATATTGTACTAGAGTGCCGGTGAGTGCAGCCCGCTGGTCGAACTTTTACCGGCCGGCTGTTCTTTTTTTAACTCCCCGCGGACGTCGGGCCGTGGAGGAGGAACGGCGACTGTCTATAAAAATGACTTTAAATGTAAGCAGCGCGCCGTCTTGTCCTCCTTTTCCAGTTTCGAGGCACATTTATTTGAGGTGGATCGCTCCGATCCGGTGCTGTGCGCCGTCATCTACCGACCCCCCAAATACAATAAGGACTTCTTAAATGACTTCTCTGATCTGTTGGCTGAAATTATGCCTCAGTATGATCGTGTCCTCCTTGTCGGGGATTTTAACATTCATGTGTGCTG